AGATGAGCAAGGGAAGACCTAACAAGGCTGAACACGATTGAGGGAGGGGGCTGGAGGGGCCAGAGTCTGAGCAATCATCCAGTCCGGTCCGAGTTGACATTATCATGGCATCCAGCTCACCGGCCTACTTCTTTCTGGAGGGGAGGGGCTACATGGGGGAGAGCATGAGCCCACTCCCTGGCTCATAAGTCACTGGAAGGCCTCATAGAACTCAAAAGTCGTTATACTGACTAGCTGCCTTCACGTCCGTTCGGATTCACGGAGACCCTGCGTGTGTCAGAGAACTGTGTCCCATGGGGTTTTTGTTGGCTGGCTTCTCAAGAGTAAGTCACGAGGCCTTTCTTCTGAGGGCCCTCTGGGTGGCTCCATCTTTTTTTGGTAACAGGGAAGCGCCTGCATTTTTATCTCACCAAGGGATTCCTCTGTACTCCCAGTTACAGTTCATGACAGCAAAGAGATAGAGGGTAGATGCAGTACAGGGAACAAAGTTCAGAGGAAACTAGGAGCGAGTTTTCAAGTGTTTCCTCTCAGGGGAGTCTCAAGGGATATGCTTCGTTCTCTCAGCACATACAAGGTGTCCCAACCAGGGAAGTTCACCCAAGCCTGCGGATCTAGGGATCTCGGGTTTTATTAAAGGCCAGTCACATTGATTGGCCTACAGCACCTGCATGAATAATCACCTCAGCTCCAGAGTCACCGAAGGAAACAGGTATTCCCTATCAATCACATTGTTAGTAGAAATTATCTGGACAAATGGGTCCGGGGTGGCTTATGTGCTCAACCATGCAAAATCACATCTCAGAACAGTGCTCTGATACTCACAGAAGCCAGCCACGGGCCAGTTCTGCATGCAGGTCTTTCTTGGGAATGCTTGGAGTGGCAGTGACCCAGAACGACTGAGTTAACCCTTTTCACGTACCTGTGGCAAGAACTGGAGGATCATGCTTGGGCAAGGCTTGACCAAGATGTGAGCCGTGCCAGGACTCTGCACCTGGCTACATCTTCTGCCCTTTCTCGTGTGTGGGGGCAGAGGAAGTACCAGGGGCAGTGGACAATGAGGGCACTGTAGAGAAAGCCTCGTGTCCAAATGGAGGTCTCTGGCAAGTCATCCTGAGCTTGGCCAGAAATCGCCCAGTGGTCACTGTGCACAGCAGATTTTCCTGGGTCTCGGGCCTCATCCTACCAAAGATCCTAGAAGTGCCAAGCCCTGTGCTGGCCACCTGTATTTGCTTTCTAACTCCTAATAACTTAGGGGAAGGGTGAGTGTCCCCTTCTAAGAGCTGCTGTTCCGAGTTGGGATAAGGCAAAGCAGGGCTCCCTTGAGCTGCCCCTCGTCACTTCTGCGTGGTTTCAGGCTGGGGCCCTCACAGCGGCGAACTCCTAACTCCTGCCTCTCCCCGCTCACAGTGCTCAGTGACCTGTGGCAATGGTACCCAGGAGCGGCCAGTCCTTTGCCGGACCTCAGATGACAACTTCGGCATCTGCCATGAGGAGCGGCCAGAGACGGCTCGGATCTGCAGGCTTGGCCCTTGTTCACGTAAGCATTCTGCTGCATACAGTAGGCCCATGGCAAGGAGTGGGGATTGGCTGCAGGCTGGTTCAAGGGCATACCACTCTTCCACTCAATGGAACAGACTGGAAGGCGACTCTAGACACCCCTGAGCCAGGGATGGGACCTTTTGGGGAAAAAATGAAATTTCCATGCACAGTCTTAGGACCCATGGAGGCAGTGGAGATGGTGCTGGGCCAGTTTAGTCCTGCCTTCCTGGCATCTGCTGTCAGCCCCGAGACAGGATGACCTTCAAATTGCCAGGACAGTGGGACTCAGCTAAGGATGTGTGTGTGTGTGTGTGTGTGTGTGTGTGTGTGTGTGTG